TAGGCAAAACATGTCAAGCTGTGCTCACATAGTCCTGCAGAGTGTGGATGAAATCAGGTCCTGAAGTATGCTAAGGAGGTCAGTGATGCTGGTATCAGCTGAGTTTAGAAGAGAGCAAAGACCAAAGTCCAGAGTTTCTTATTGATGGAGTCCTAATCATAATGTGGACAACCCCTGGCTCAGTGTTACGATTGATTTAATCCTGAATGGATTTTGGAGAGAAAAAAAGGGGTCAGAGAAGGAATGCAGCAGAATGCAGCATTACTCTTGCGTAGAACAATGTGTTGAAAATGATGTATGTGTGTGTATATATACATACATATTCATACATATTTCATGCACATTGATGATCTCAGATCACAGAAGTGTGAAATACCATGGGCTGTCTGTATCTTGACAGATAGTACCTTCACTAGTATATGTAGTAAATTTCTCATTTTTTTTGTGGACCCTGACCTTAGGAAGAAACATGTTTTCTGTGTATGTTTGTGTTCTAGGGACTACATCAAGCAAGGAAGTTGTCCAAATAGAACAATATTGCAGTGACAATCCATCAGTCTGTAGTTACAGTTCTGTTTTACAGTATCATCAGCCTCTGTATTAACTTTAGGTGCATATATAGACTTATAGGCATGGCTGTATATGCAATAGCAATTGTTAATGTTAACACATTTATCATTGTAGAATCTACATTTTAAGTTTTTAGCTAACTTTATATTTTGAAAACTTATAAGAAAAACGTGGATTTGAGGTGGTAATACAGCTTCTTAATTTGTAAGCTGTGTTCGTCTCCTAGATTTCCCAGGGCATCTGTGAAGTGATGGGCAATAACATGATTATATGCTGTTTACATAATGGCGTTACAGAATGCTTCTGGGGTTTCTGAAGAGTAGCCACTTCCCATTACATATGTCTGCTGCTGGTTCTCTTGGTCCAGGGAGCACGCTTCGATCCGTATGCTGAAACGGGAGTGCTGCAGCCATAGAGGGCTGAGTAAATAAAAATGTTAAATGTGAGCGAAAAGCTAATGCATTGGTCTTCACTTGGAAGGAATTCTAGAAGTTTTTTGTTTTTTGTTGTTTTTTTTTTTTTAAGAAAAAGTGTCAATAGGTGAGAATACCTGAGCTTAAGGATATGCATTAAAAAAAAAACAGCAACACCTTTTGTTAACTAATTAAACTTCATGGTATAGTACATGTGGATTTTAAGTCATCCTTTTTAGAGTATCGACGTTCTTTTAAGAACATGTAAGTTGATGACTATAAACTGAAAAAGTATTATAAATTACCTCAGAATATCAGAGCCCTGAGACACAGCACTTAATCCTCTATTATGGTACAATAAACCTCATTTTTCTTGGGTCACGGTTAATGAATGTAATGGCAGCCTGTCTATCATAGGTTATTATGTCACAGATAATGATCTGCACACAGACAAGATTCCTGCAGTCCTTGCTCCTAGGTATTATTTCCTTTCCAATTACATCTTGTAAACTCTCTTTGCTTTCACCTTTTGTCTTGCAAATTTTCTCTTGCATTTTCCTTATCTTCCTATCATGTTAATCTCATCCATTTGCCATATGTATTTTGAAAGTAAGTACTGTTTATGTTGAGGCGGTTCTGAGGGCCTGAAGCAATCGGGTATCGCCTTGTGCTGATTGCTGCTCAATTGTCAAAGTCTGTGGCGGGCTTAAAAATCCTGTGCTATTAAAAAACTCTGGAACAAAAAAGAGAGTCGTGGGGATGTAACACTCTCAAGTAATTGTGATCTAGTTGTCTACAAACCTTTTCATGTTTTAAAAGTCTACTCAGGAGCAGTTCTCCTGACGTAGTTCAGATCTTAAGGCTGCGATGCCCAAGCATGAGTAGGATTCATAGAATAATTTGTCCCGGACTGCCTGTATTTCAGGGCCTCTGTCTCCCTCTTCTTCTTTCATTTAAGGTCCAGAGTGGGTCACTCGAATACTTTTCAACGGTTTTTTAGTGTCACTTTAATTTGTGGGGTGTCAGGGATGGGAGAGCGGCTGCTATTCATTCTCACGGTGTCCGGTTTCTGGCAGGTGAGAACACCTGGACCCAGCATCCGCGCGGCCAGAGCGGCCTGCGCTCTGCCCTGCAGAATGTGCTATAAGAGTAAGAAGTCAGTGGTTGATTGAAAAAGAAGTCGTTGCGGAGTGCAGACGAAAAGCCAGGATAGTACTGGGTTTATATCCTTCCTGCAGAGGTGGTTTAAACATCACATCTTGTGATTGTTGCAGACTGTGGTGCGTAGCTTTGGTGAAAGGACCGAGTGCTTATGCAGAGTTCTAAGTTAATTTATTAGAGACCAGCTGGCCATGTTTGTACATGTTTGTTATGATCCCTACTCTGCTATATGGCATTTTAAATATTTTTGTCTATTTGAGCTACAGGATGTGTGTTTTGAGTTAATAGTAAAATGTGAAGGCTGAGGATGATATTGAACTCCTACTCAGTTTAAGATCTTTCATGAAAATCCACATTTGTAATGTAATCTGAGGCAGGACTTTCTTCCCAGCAAGATGTGCCCTTGTAGTTGGCAGAGGTTCACACGGCCAGACTCACCGAAGGGCTGTTGTTTTTGCGTGATTGATGCTTCCGCTGAGCAGCGGTGGCCTGGCAGCTTGCTGGCACGGGTACCCTGCGTTCAGTCCGTGGCGTGCTGCAGGCAGCCTGGCTGCAGCTGTGGTGGTCCTGGCTTGAAAAGGCTTCTCCTGCTTTCCTGAGAGCCATCTCCTGTCTAGCTGTTACTGTTTGCAAACAAAACAGTAATCTTCAGCTGTCAGCCTGCTGAGCTGCCATCCTGGCCGTGGCAGCCCGGCTGCTGCTGCCCTGAGAGGAGGAGGAGGGTGAGGAGCAGCGGCGGGTCCAAGCTGGGCTCTTTCTCCAAGCAGTCTCACTAGGAGCAGGGCCATGTCTAGATTTAAAAATGTAAGTCAGCAGTGGGAGAGGATACAACGGGTACGCTTGGCTTACTACAGACTTGGTCTCTCCCTGGAGATCACTGGGGAGTTTACTGCAGTCAGCTTCAGTGGGATGTCCTCTCCTGCTTCGTAATGAGGAGGATGGATCTTGTCCACGTAAGATTTCCTTTAGAAAAGGAGCTCTTGGACTTTGAGGCAGCATATAGCAGGTGAAGACTGAGAAGCAGAACAGGTACTACAGAAGCTACACCTTCTCACTCTGCTGAGAAAAGTGTCTGTGGCTGGCCCTTCTCATGGAGAATCTGTCCCAGTAAGCAGAGCTTTTCTCACAGCTTGCTTATGCTGCTTACAATCCGTATTTTGTATCCTACTGATTGAGATCTAGTTCCACATTGGTAATCTCACCTGAATTTTGTAATAGTTTTCAGTGTGTTCAGTGAGTTTCAGTGCTCGGCTGTTTTGCACAGCAGTTTGGAAGTGGCAATAAATTGGCAAACTTGCCTTATTTCTGAATTTATTCAAGACTTCAAAATTAATCATTAGTAAGCTTCATAGGATTGTGTTGTAAACTTTGGAGAAACATAAGGAAATGGGTTCACGCTTAGAATTTTAAAAAAATAAATGTACACTCTGCAGAGATTTTGGATCATAAGAGCTTGGTTCTTTGTGATTTCTGCAACACAAATTTTGAGGAATAAAATGTTGCCCCACTTAAAGAATTGATAGGTCAGATCCATCAATAATAATAATATTACATTTGGGGGACAAAGATTCCTAAATCAAACCCATGCACAGATTTCTGTTTTCTCAGCTGTAATAAAAATTTAATTCAATAGTTTTGTAAAGTATTTTCTGTGTAGTGTTTTCTACACAAAAAAGCCCATTCATTTTGTAAAAAGCAAAATGTGTTATTCTCTTTCATTCCTCACAAAAATGTCAATAAACCAGTTTCTTTTGGTCAGAAACTAGTTGAAGAATAAAATACTGAAACACAAAAAAGCATGTGTGAATTAGACTGTTAGCTTTTTATTGTGTAGAAATTTAGTGATGAGATGAAAAAAGTCTTCAGTGATAGAACTTAAGCAGCAGTGAGTGAAGGAGGTGATGCTCCTGTGTCCCACAAACTGCTCTTGGTAATCTTACTCTGAGGATATTTTTTTTTTAAAAATCTCTGGATACGTACTAATCTTATTGTCACTATGACGACAATAAAACCTTTAATCTCTTGTTATTCCTATTAAATATATCAGTATGTCAGACATGGCATTTATGTCTGGGTTTATCAACAGGAAACTCAATACTCATTTTGTTTTTTTCCTAAAAAAAAAAAGGCAAAAATATGGTGATGTAAAGCTTTACTCAGCCTCAGTTGGAGAAGAGCCCACATATTACTGTTATCAATCTATTTCTCATAATAAATAGACGCGTCATTATTAAAATAAAAAACTTTAATTGTCTGTCTTCCTAAAAAGGTACCGTGTGAACATCTGAAGGCCCATTAAATGTTACCTATAAAATGTCTACTCTGTGCACTCCTCCTCCTCACTGCTGCTTATTTTGTTCAAATACGTGGATCGGTGAGTGCTGCTAACTGCATGTTAGAAGGTTGTATGCACTTTTCTGAGCTTCCTGTCTGTGATCGTTAGAGAAGATGACCTTGAAATCTTGTGCTCTCATCACAGACTCAGCGTTGAAGGGTCCAGTTCTTCTGGGGACAAATAGGAGTGTAGATTATTTTCTTTTATAAGCTATTGCTTATTGTTTAATTTTGAACTGTCAAACGTGAAAGATGTTGTAGTGAATTTCTCGCTTGAGTGCCTGTGCTGAAAAATGTTTGCAATAACTTATATTGTGTTCTTGGAGTTAATGAATTCAGAAGGATGGAGTAGGGAAAACACAATCAAGAGCCTAAACTTTAAGAGTGAGAAAACAACTTGCTCTCCTTTCTCCCTGCTTTCTTTAGCTTCTGTTGTAATAGGAATTAGTATGAATAACAAACATATGTATGGAAGAGAGAAAAGCCGTACCATTAACTTGTTTCTTTGGTTTTAGGTTGACAAAGCCCCTGTCATTTGCGGATTGTGTTGGCGATGAACTGCCATGGGGATGGGAAGCCGCATATGATCCTCAGATTGGCGTATACTATATCGATCACATCAACCGTAAGTGCTTTGCAGTTTGTCGGATTGGTTGTATGAGAAGGCTTGTCTTCGTTAGACTTTCCTGAGAAGCTTCTAAAGCGTGACTGGGAGCAGGGAAAGATTTCTTGTGAGAGAAGTGTAGTTAAAGTGACATTTTCGGATTTTTCAGGAGACAAATTATCCCGTTCATGTGCATGGGTTTGTTGAGGATAGTTGCAGATGTGTTATAGCTGGCTCAATGTTATTCATATGACTCTTTGTCTTTTTCTGTGCAAGAAGTCCATGTAATGTCTAGTAAATAGAGGTGGTTTACACCTGTTGGTATCTGTAAAGTATCCTATGGCTACTAAACATTCAGCAATGCACGTGAGCAGGGATAGTCTGATACAAGTAACAAAAACTGGCTTCAGTCTAACTGCTGAAAGGAGCTATTGTAGATAAAGTAGCGTGGAGTCGGGGGGAGGTACTTGTAACTTGTACGTGAGGTCTGACAAATGTACTGTAGCTCTAAGAATGTTGTAGGATACGTTTCTGGCTATAAATAGTGCTATATCTTGTGGTAATTGGAATGGGGAATCAAAATGCTGGCAAAAATTTGCACTTTGGTGTAATATTATTGACTTTAAAAGGCTTACAAGAAAATATGCTGCTATAAAATGACTACATCTGTTTCTACATATATTTTTAATTGCATGGGAATTATGTATAAACCATACAAAACCATAGCAAAATTTGTAATACAGTGCTTGTTAGACTTACTGAAATGAAGATATTCCCAAAAGCATTTCCGTCTTCTTTTTATGCGTTTATTACTCCATATTAATTGATACCTTTTTCTGTTTTCTCAGAAATTGTCATTAATAACATAATGCAAGAGATTCCACTTGAGATCAATACCTGAATGTAGCTGCCTGCATCTGTGCTAGCAGTACTGTGTACTTCAAAAAAAAATAGTAAGGTGTCTGTGGCCGTTTTAGATGCTTTAGGTTAGCAGAGACAACTGCACAAGGTCAGCAGATGGACAGTAAGAAACTCAAAACTTTTAATCAGTTCTAAAAATCTCAGTCTTGTAGCTTAGTTGCTTTTTTCTTTATCTTTCTTTATTCAGAAAGAGGTTAAATATTTCTTTTAAATGCTATTTCTGTGCATTAAAGGTGAACTCCTGAATGTTATAACCAGTTCATGGGTTGAAGTTCTGCTTCACACACATGTAAGATGTTGAGGCTTGAACAGTGTTGTCTTGGAATTCTCTTGAAAATTGTTAATATACTGCAAACACTAATGCTTCCACTTAATAGAGAAGAGTTGTATGTATCCATCTGTATGCGTGTCTTTCTGTGTCTGGGACAAAGAAGTGTGATTAGCTAGGTTTCTTTACATTGATGTGTGTGATGGATGACAAAACAGCATACATTGGACTTTGGTATTCTGAAAGTGGTTTCCATCTGTTCAGTAGTGCATTTGGTTCCTTTTATATTAATATATGTGTTGCTTGGTAGCAATTTCAGTGAAACTTCTTATTTTGTAAAGTGGTATATTTTAGTTTTGCACAGTGTTTTGCGCAGTATTTTGGTGGAGTTGCTGGGAGGTAAACTGCCGGAGAATCTTACAAGTAGGTGATGTGTCTGGCCTGCCAAATGTGGAGATTAGAACTTCATCTAATTGGGGTACATGTATTGTTTTGATGCTACTGAAATCTCTAGTATGGAGGTCACTAATAATTAGGGGGACAGAGCCTTTCTAGAAAGCAGTTTTTGCACCTGCTTACTGCTTTATTAGCAGTATGATAATTCAGATGTGTTCAGTATGCTTTTTGGATTTGAACTGTTAAAATTCTCTATCAGGACAGTGGCTATGTTAGAACAAGGAAGACTCCTTTACCCTTTCACCTGTAATGATTATAATTTTGCTAATTCTCTCTTTTACTGGACAAAGAAGCCCAATGAGGGAGAAAAGCTGTACCCACTGCTAGGAGGAGGACCAAATGCATAGATGCCTGAAAAACAGGTTGGAGAAAGTGGACGTTCAGGACCCGTAAATGGCAGCTTGAGGGGTGGCACCTTGGGAAGAGATCTGCTCCCACGTGCTAGGTAGGGAGAGGTGACTAAAGACGCTTCATGCTCACTGCATTCGGGCTGAATTTATTTCATCAAAATGTTTGAGGGAAGGCCCATTGATTCTCTTCTCTTGCATCCCATAATTAATTATTCTGAACAGCTTCTCTATTATCTGTCCTAATTTTGTAGTGTTGTTCCTACTGCGTGCCTCTGTACAAAGCTCCATTTGATACAGCAGTGAAGTTTCAGGTTGTCCACAGGACTTTGGAGCCATGGTATTAAAACTGGCCAATCTTATTAAATTTCTCAAACCAACCCAATAAGCTATAAGCAGCAGGCTAGACCTTAGCACAATAGACTGTAAATTCAGAAGATCTTACTCATGGTTGTTCCCTCCTTTTCTGTTAAAAACTCAAGGCTGAAAATGTTAAGGATGGAATTTGCATTAGTGGTCAGTGAGGGGCTTATTCTGCTCCGCTTGAAGGGTGGGTATTGGCAAAACTCCCACTGATTTTAAAAAAAGGCTGAACCTTGCAAAGTTCTAAAATTTCTACCAAATTTCTGTAATGTTGATAACTCAAAAATTATTTAAATCAATATATCTTTAAAAAAAAACCCAAAACAACTAACTATTTTCCCCATCTGTGTAACTATCTGTCTTAGTCCTTTATCTTCCCTTCTCCCATGCAGTGTGCGAAAAGCGTATTTTCCTTAACTGCCAGTAGAAACTCAATTTCTCCTGCACAGAGGGGTAAGATTTGGCTGTGAGCAGTCTACAGTTGTAAAACACTCCCTCAGACTTGAGGAACTTGCTTTTGCTGTCAATATGTTTAAGTATAATTTGGTTTTATTATCATCACACATTTTCTATAATTTTATATATTTTTATGAGGTTTTTTTCAAATACAGTTTGCTTTTTTTTCTAACTCTGACTGACTGCCTTAGAGCTTTCTCGTGATCCTTTTGGATGATGTAACCCACTTTGAGAAACACTGACTGAAGTCATTACTTTATGACTGTATTACCCCAATTAGGAGTTTTAATGTGATGCTTTCAGCTTCAGGGGAGACCAGATTAGAGGCCATCTGGCAAGGCAGAACGTGGTTATGATGTGGGCAGCTAACACCATAAGAACCTAAATGCTTGCCCTGTGGTTCAGTAGCGCCCTTTGTTAGAGGAGTGATGAAGGGATATTGTTTGGTGGTCGGGGACTGAGGAGTTCCTTTCGTGAAGGATCCTGCTTATTGTGGTTTGGGAGAGTCCAAAGATTTTTTGGGTTATGCTGTTCACCCTGATAATCCTCGTTGCATATATGTAATTGTGTGTTCATCTACTCCAGCTGTGTCGTTTGCTAACATTTACTAGTTTTGCTAAACAGCATGGTTAGGAGCTCAAGGCAATACCGAAAACAGCACAAACCTATTGCTCCATTTCGTATATCTACAGGCAAAGTCATTGCTTTCATGTTTTTCCAATTCTTCTGCAGGGTTTTCAACTTCAGGCGTTAAGTGGCTGAGATGCAAACATTTATGTTCTTAGAGCTTGGATTTGCAAACACTTTTAAGCTGATAGAATCCCTGAAAGACTTGGTCCTGCTCTGTTGCTACCTCTGGCCTTTTGTTCTGTCCCTGCAATGTTTTTGCTTATACTGGCATGAACATTTGCGTGGCCAGACAGTGAATCAGATCAGGGAGCTGATCTGAGTGGAAACTAATCTGGTATGAAAAAAAAAGAGTCGCTATTTGTTCTCCTTTCCACACCCCTATTTATGCAAGCAAGGGAGGGAAGGTGACCTGGGGATATGAATGAACAGTCAGGTGGAAGAGGTAGGGGACAGCTGCTTTTCACGGCAGCACTGGTTAAAGGTATTTTGAAATGACACCCTTGAACTTTTGTCTGTTCCGTGCCCTGTGCAGGCTTGCCAGGAGGCGGCTGTGACTGAGGCAGTGATTTCCCGGTGCCCTCCTCGGGTGGTGGTGCCCGCTGCGGCTCCTGCCCTGCGTTGTGTCAGTGTGAGGAGGTGTAGCAACACGGGCAACAGGGAAGCGCTCCGCTTCCCGAGGTGCGTGAGCTGTCATTCCTTACCTCCTCTTCCTTCCCTCAGCCGCTCAGGTTTGCTGATCTGGATCGTTGCACGGGGTGTGTGTAGGTGAACAGCTGTGGAAGTAATGGGAGCAAGAGCGGGGAACTTCTGCTTCTGGCATGACGTGAATAGTCTGAGGGAATCCTGGGCAGGGACAAGTTCTGCCTTGCCTTCAGCACTTTCTGTGTTCCTAAATAACTTGTCCTCTTTGCTTCCAGTTCTTATTTTCAGGCTCAGAATAACCAGGCAAATGGTTGTTTTCTCATTGCGTTGATCTAGTTAACCTATAAAACACATACTGTGCCGTTAGTAATGTTTAGTAGTAAAAGTGTGACAGTATTTGTAAGATTAGGAGGGGAAGGAACAGCTGCTCCTAGCCCAGCAGTGTTTCAGACCATCACATCACTTTCTTTTTGCCACTCTGTACTTTGTATTCAATACAATGATTTTTCTCCTCATCCTCCACCCCCAGCACTTTTCTTCAAAACAGAATTGGACATTTACCTGCTCTGCTTGTGCAGCTCCTCCCTGCTTCATTTGAATTGTCCACTTCGGAAGCATGAATGCACCTTTCCCAGAGACTTTCTACCACTGATTCATCCAGAAAGAAAATTAAAATTGAGTCAGAGTGATGCTAAAACATGAGGAAGCATAGAGGTAGAGGGTCTTGTGTCTGCTTAGCTCAACAATAGAATTCATCGGAGGTCCGTATTTACCTACTTGTTTTTCTTCCTGCTTAGAATTTCAAAGCCTAGCTATTTACCTACACTGTTTGACACTTATAACATGATATTTTAACTACAGCTATTCTACTTCTTGTTGTAATCTTAAAGACTTTCATGACAGCTTACACCTGTGCAACTGGTTTATCTAAGACAGGG